ATAGATAGATAGATAGATAGATAGATAGATAGATAGATAGATAGATAGATAGATATATAGGTAGGTAGATAGATAGATAGATGGATAGATAAGCTCTACTGTATCACTATCGCAGGACCTGATGACGTAAGAGTGGCCATCATACGCTTCTCCCATGGCTCTGACGTCATGACCTATTTTAATGACGACATGGACAAGGATTCTAAACGCAAAGCCATAAGGAAAATGAGATTTAAGTAAGGAAACGTCGAATTCTAACGTTGTTGTTGTTGTTGTTGTTGTTGTTGTTGTTGTTGTTGTTGTTGTTGTTGTTGTTGTTGTTGTTAACGTTAACGTTAACCTTGTCGTTAAAGTTGTTGTTGTTGCTTTGTTGTTAACGTTGTTGTTGTCGTTTTGTTGTTAACGTAGTTTTTGGGACCGTTGCTTTTGTTGTTGTTAACGTTAACGTTGTCGTTAAAGTTGTTGTTGTTGTTGTTGTAGTTGTTGTTGTTGTTGTTGTTGTTTTATTGATAACGTTGTTTTTTGGGACCGTTGCTTTTGTCAAAAGGTTGTTGTTGATGTTAATGTTTTGTGTCGTTGTTGTTATTGTTGTCTTTGTTTGCTGCTGCTACTAATGTTTTTGCTATTTTTGTTATTGTTGTTGTTGTTTTTGTTGTTGTTGTTGTTGTTGTAGTTGTTGTTGGCAACAATCCTCTTGCTAAAGATGTTGTTGTTGTTTTGTGTTTTCATTGATGTTATGGCCACTGATGGCGATGAACTTGTCGTTTTGTTTTGTTCTTGCTGAAGTTGATGCTACTGGTGTGTACTTCTGTTCTTTTTAAAGTATGTAGTCGGAGTTGTTGTCGAAATTGTCAGTGGTGGCAATTCTGTCTCTTTTGCTTCTCTAAAAAAAGATGTAATATTTTTGTGCTACCACAAAATGTATTGGAGCCACAAGTTCTTGGTACTTACTTAGAAAAATCAACCTTAAGAAATAGAAAACGTAAACTAAGAAAGACTAGACTCATTGACAAAATATCTTCACATTACATTAAAAACCCTATCTAATCTCTGCATTTGACGAATTTGATTTAATGGACAGCCATCGACACCTGCAATACATACATACCCACACATAGTTTGCTTGTTGAGTTAGTCTATAATTTATTTTCCGTCTACATAAGTGTGAAATTTTCAACATTTTTGTTGTCGGAGAGAAAAGTTAACATTTTTGTTTTGTTTTGTTTTACGTGTAACTGAAATAATTGTCAGGTTGTAAGAGGGTCTAATTGGCGCATATTTCTTCTTTTCTTTCCCTCTGCTGCTTATTTCATCTTTCTTCATTCCCCCCCTTCACTTGATGATAATTGGTCGCTTTTAAAGACAAGCGGGCTAACTCATATTTCGGGGATTTCAAGAAATCTTGACCTACACCAAAAGTTGGCATAGCCCTACCTATAAGAGACGTTTGGTATCATTGGTGTGTATATTTGCATGGTTATAAAGAAAACTCTCCTTGTCTTTTAAAAAAACTGAACAGGGGCCCAAAAACTTTACCTTCGATTTTCTCAAAACGGCAATTACCGGATTGCCCCCTTGTGCTTAAATGCGACCAATTAATCTTTCGAGGTGCTTCTCTTTACACAAACACGTAACTCTCTCTCTCTCTCTTTCCCTTCCCAGCGGGGGTACTACAGCCACAGACAAAGCTATCAAAGACTTGAGAGAGAAAGTCTTAGACAGTTCTCACGGGAACAGAGAAAACGTTCCTGACCTCGTAGTGCTGATCACAGACGGAGCCTCCAATAATATGACTGCTACTGTGATTGAGGCCAACATCTTGAAACAAAGGCCCGACCTAAGGGTACGTTTATCCAGCGCCAGTGAGTTAAAGGGAAACGTTAGCGTGAGGAAGTTACTTACGTGTCAGGTTTTGAGACAGACAGACAGACAGACAGACAGACAGACAAAGGCAGAGAGACAGGCACTCATACTGACAAACAGACAGACAGACGGACAGACAGACAGGCAGGCAGGCAGGCAGGCAGACAGACAGACAGACAAACTTACTTACACTCTCCCTATACCGTCAGGTACATGAGGTTGAGCGCAGTCGACGCCACGCTTGTCTGTACATGGCCCGACAAATCAAGGCCCTGGATGATTGCCTCATCCCTTATTGTGCCTCTATAGCTTCCAGTTGGTCTTCCTCTTTTTAAAAAAAAGTTGTTTTTCAATACCATGTCTGATAGGGCAATCTTGTTTTCGGCATTCTTAGAACATGTCCTAGATGTGGTCGGTTGAATGGGCAAGAACAACAGAAATGTTATTGTGAAGTATTGTTAGGTTTTACTTGGATTGGAAGGGAAAAAAGACGACTAACCACAACATATGGTAGCGTTCTTGCTATGAAGGTGGTTTGCAGGGTCTTTGTTCAATAAACACATTTTACTCGACCTAGGCCGCACGCACACAAGGACAATTTCCACTCGTCTCACGGCTGCGAGTATATAAATAAGGCAATTTTCCAACTCCCCGTTCTTCCCTCCTCACCGCCACGTGACGCCATACTTCACAGTCGTAAGACTAGAGGAATTTTTCGTAAGGTGTGCGCGGGCCTTAATAAGCCCGAATAAAGTTATATACCTTTTGAGATAATGAGGTCATGTCTATAGGTGGTTGCTGGTTTGTTATATTCCTCAGATCGTGACCCTGGGCATTGGTGACCAGGTGGACAGAGCAGAGCTCCGCGTACTGGCCTCGAGTGACCGCGAGATGTACGAGGCCCGCTCCTTTAAGAAAGTCAGGTCTTTCGTGGAGAAGATTCTTCAATGGGCGTGCTTGGGTAAGATTATGTACTATTTCTAAAACGTTCAGATAGAGGGCAAGAGAGAAAGGGGGGAGACCTAAAAGGAGATGGGAACAGGACATAAAAACCTGGGTTTGAACCAAAACAACATTATCAAGCAGAATGGCAAAGACAGGATGATATATCGTGGTAGAAAGGTCCGAAAAGAATGTCCAATTACTGGAAAAGCTTAGAAGAAGAAAACGGTAAAATATACTTTTACGAGAAAAAAAAAGAAAGAAACGAACGTTATGTTAATTTCAATATTCATTTCCCCACTTTAAAAAAAATACAAATTTGATTGTAATAAATTCTAGTTGTTGCTGTTGCTGTTGCTGTTGCTGTTGCTGCTGCTGCTGTTGTTTCCGTTTTAATTATCTTTACATTTTATATAATAATGTGTCACACCCGTTCTGTCTTGACAGCAGAATACCGTGTACCGCCAGAGAAGAGGACCCGGGCCACTCACAGGGCCACATCCACCACAGCGGCACACAGAGAAACCACCTCCACAACAATGAAGGCTCCAGAAAAAGAGACCAGGGTAGACGAGACAACAACACGAGATGAAGAATCGTCTTCTCAAACAGCATCAGCAACAACTTCACCACCAGCAGCATCAACAACAAGGACATCACCCCCTACAACATCAGCAATAACGACAACCTCACCACCACCACCAGTAACAGCAACAATTTCCTCACCACCCCAAACAACGGCATCATCACCACCAGTAACAACAACTACATCATCACCACCACCACCACCAGTAGAAACAAAGACCATGTCACAAAAACCACGACCAACAACAACACCACCACCATCTACAACATTATCACCAACACCAATTATTACAACATTACCACCACTATCAGCAAAAACAACGTCACCACCACCGCCAACAACAGTACAATCCCCATTACCATCACTAAAAACATCACCACCAAGAACAGCCCTGCCAACAACAACCTCACAGCCACCAACAACAACATCATCACCACCACCGCCACCACTACAGACGACTACGACATCTTCGCCTCCACTAACAACAACATTTTCATCTTTAATAACAACAACAACATCATCACCATCAACAACAGCAACAGCAAAATCATCACTATCTATAATTGCGACTACAAGACCATCACCTACACCAACAACATTAAAATCATCAAGAACAACATCACTATCTACAATTGCAACAACAAGACCACCACCACCTACACCAACATTATTTTCATCAAAAGCAACAACTCCGCCACTACCAACAATGTTCCCACCAGCAACGGCATTACAAGCAACAACAACAAAATCATCCCCATCAGCAACAACATCATCACCAAAACCAACAACATCACGAGTAACAAAGTTGCCACCAACAATAACGACAGCTACATCTACATCTACACCACTATCAACGACACCATCACCAACACCACCACCAACAACAACACCACAATCAACAGAAACGACAACACCATCTCAACCAACAACAACAGAAACGACAACAACAACAGAAACGACAACAACAACAGAAACGACAACAACAACAGAAACGACAACAACAACAGAAACGACAACAACAACAACAGAAACGACAACAACAACAGAAACGACAACAACAACAGCAGAAACGACAACTCCATCTCAACCAACAACGACAACAACAACAGAAACGACAACTCCATCTCAACCAACAACGACAACAACAACAGAAACGACAACACCATCCAAACCAAAGAAAACAACTACAACTGAAACGACAAAAACATCTCAACCAACGACAACAACAACAACAACAGAAACGACACCACCACCACCACCACCATCAACAACAACAGCAGAAACAACAACATTATCTCAACCAGCGACAACAACTGCTACAACAACAACAACATCATCACGACCACCACCAACGTCATCATCACAACCGATTGAATCAGCCGGAGATGGTGACACAGGAATAGAAGGAGAGGATGGGACTTACTACATTGCCGGAGGTGCCGCAACAGCTGTGGCAACTGTGGCAGGGAGCGTCGCTGCCATATAGATAGATAGATAGATAGATGATGGGACTTACTACATTGCCGGAGGTGCCGCAACAGCTGTGGCAACTGTGGCAGGGAGCGTCGCTGCCATATTATACCGGTACCTTGTTCTTCGTCGCAGAAGAAACTCGAGCGAGAATGAAGCTCTGGCGTAGAGTAGATTAGGGTGTGTGTGTGAGTGTGTGTGTGTGTGTGTGTGTGTGTGTGTGTGTGTGTGTGTGTGTGTGTGTGTGT